GCCCTGGTAAGTTCACCATTCCAGTACATTTCACTTTTCTGACTCACTTTTGCCATAGATCCCACTGGCCAAGAACATTTTCCATCTCATCGGACCTAACGCTGGCATTGGGTTTGCTATCGGTAAGTTACAATGTCACTCACATACACTAGAAACAACAAAAATATTTAGAATTCATTTTCTTCAGCTTATAGGAAAAATAACTTCTTAGGTCCATTGAAGTCTATCATAATTCAGAACTTCAATATTGATGGCAATAACGCTGTTACCGAAATGTCACACACTATTTATTTGGATTTGGTCTTATTAAATTGTGTTTCTAATCTATAATCCAAATTGTACCTTATCATTTTTTAGACTTCAATAGACCTAAGAAGTTAAACAACAAAAGCCTTCATTAAGGACACTCGTCCCATACAGGATTCTCCCAGATAGGTAAAACAGAAGAAAACATAGCAGTTATCTACAGAAAGTGAAGATTAAGACATATGCTAGAAGCGAATCATTAGTTTTTGTTAGAAATGCTGAGGCAAACCTAAATCCTTTTTTTTTTTTTTGGAAATGGGTTGAGTGCTTTTTGAAACCCTTGCGTAGTCACAAGTAAACTATGGACCATATGAGGACAGTAAATATATATATATATGTGGCAATATAGTGGTAAATGTGGTGAGGAGAGAAATAATCACACGACGAGTTGTTAGAGCAATCATCCAGGCAGCCAGCCGAGAGAGAGCGAGCGAGACGTTATCAGCTGAACGACTGTTTTCCCTGTGTACACAACCGGGGGCTAACCAGGATAGTCGCCAGGTGGTGACGCCCCCCCCCCCCCCCCCCCCCCCTCAGGAATGTGGCCAAAAATGGTCGTAAGTTAGTTGTCTAAAGTGGCTCGCTTTAGCTGCTCATCTCTCTCGTTGGCTGTTGGTTTGTTTTATTAATCCTGGAAGAGCATATATTATGACATATGCAGTTAAACAGGTCTATAGCGCCATCTCTAAATAGCGCCTCCCTCTCTATAGCGCCCGATTTTAAATACGTAGTACGATGCGATTTACATTAAAAGTGACCTGTCTATAGCACCCCCTCTCTATAGCACCTTATTTTGGTGAGTCCCAAGAAGGGGCGCTATAGACAGGTTTAACTGTATATTTATTTTTAAATATAACGCGATAACATGCCATCTATACATAAGAAATAGAAGCATTATAACGCACGAATTATTGTTTTTCGGAAGAGCACTGCTTTATGTAAATATGTATAAATAATTCTGCCGTCCTAAAAGCACATGTCCATAGTTTTCTTGAATATTATTCTAAGATTCCACCCTTCATTGAAGCATATATAAGCCAAATCGTCCAAAATAGTATAATAGCTCTAAGAAGCGGTCTGGTAGATTAAATTGGAGAAACCGCTGATGAGCCAAGCTCTCTCAATATATATTTTCATTGCAGTGGAGACAGTAGAAGTTTGTTTTGTATTTTAAAAAAACCGCTGGGAGGGTTCACCACTGATGAGCCAGGCCCTCCCTTTAATTTTTCCATCGCAGTAAGGACAGTAGAAATTGTTTTATTTTAAAACAATGGTTGCCTGTAAAGTCGGTTTTACGGGCGAAGATTTTACGTGACAACGGTAGAATATTTATTGATATGAATATAATTAAATTGCACAATAGGAACAAGGAATTGAATGAAAATAAGAATTGCACAAATTTTAACTATAGAAATATATTTTGTTTACTAAAACATTGTACATGTAAACTTAAACTTAACTAATTCCTATTTGAGTGATTTTGTTGAGGATAGGACGATGATAGGAGAAATATGAAATGAAAGGAAGTGTTTCTGCTGTAATGTGTCTTGCGAAAGTCAAGTCGATAGTTGTTCCTTTTAACGTAGTTGACTTAGAAACGTTTGATACGCAATCAAGATTATACGTATTTTTCATGAATTTAAGAAACGAGTTGTCAGGCTTTACGTTTTTGTTAAAATCACCACACAGAAGAATCGGTATACTAGAATCAACTTGCACGAACGGTGGCACGTACTGGCTGTTGTGAATGTACGGACCGAGTCCTTGCCATAGTAACATTCCAATATCCTGCATACTAGCTCCTGGATGAATATATACAGCACCGAGTATAAACTTGAAGCTAGTATTAGCGGCGAAGCAAGTAACTTCAGTCATGCACATGTCACCCTTGGTTTTAATGACACGAGTTACGTCTGTAATCGCAACTTGGAACACTTCCGCCGTAGATGTCGTTGATAATTTACGATAGATCGCCACTCCACCAGCCGCGTTGGTATTTGAAAATCAAAACACTTATTCAGATCGAAGGTTCAAATTTTTGCTAAATAAATTTGAAATTAAATAAAATTTGTAATTGTAAATGATGAAGTTGAAAATTAAAACATTTACTTAAATTAGATGTTAAAATTCTTGCTCAACACAGTTTAAATAAAGTTTTCTTATATCTGCCACTTTTTCTTAATATTTGTAATTTTAAAGAATCAATTCGAAAATCAAAACATTTATTCAGATCGAAGGTTCAAATTTTTGCTAAATAAATTTGAAACTATTTAAAATTTGTAAAATAATAATTAATTGATTAATTAATTTTAAACTAATAATTTACTTAACACTATCAACATTTATCAATAGTATGACATAACCTATAAACTCAGTTTCTCAACTTTTGTGTCAATCTAACAATTAATCAATCAATCATAGTTTACGATAATGAAATATCAGTGTACAATTATTTACCTTTATTGTTGTAGTTGTTGTAAATGACGAATCTAAGCACTCCACATTTTCACTACAGACACAGCTGACGATACTTTAACCACACGTGTGAACTTGTATTATGACGCTTTCTTGTTTTTCCAACGCCAAGAACGTTCGAGAAAGACAAAGACAGAGACAAGCATGCGCCGATTCAATGCGCCTAATTCTCTAGCGCTGCGCGCGCAGCACTCTCGTTCGGTGACTCATCGTAACGTTACCGGGCGTTACACTTTTTCATAAGTGACTCCCAGTTGCAACCTAATTTAAGACGTTGTCACGTCAAAAAAAAGAAGCATTCGTGCGCGTTATTCAATTTCTTCAAAAGAGATTTCTGTTGATTTTTTATTATCTTGAGGATTATGCTATGTCAATGCAGTCGTGGTTAAAATCTTGAAAGTATAATAAAAATAGTAAAGATTAAAAATAGCTTTAATTGAGCTTATGGAATATATAAAAACATAATTTGATAAAAGTACTGCCTGACTTTAGGCGTAAGAATAAAAAGAAAATGAAAAACTTATTTACATAATGTACAAAAGGTTTGAGCCGGCCATCGGGAAACAACAATAAGTTTTTATAAGAGAAGCGTGACCTCTGGCGGTCGATTTAGCAGAGTATTAGAATTTATGAAATATAATTTTAAATAAAATAATATTTTAATATAACATATATATATTTAAATACAAAGAGGAGGTAGTGTGGGGGGGGGATTTATCTATGAAAATATCATTAGAAAATTTGACTAACAGAATAATTTGTAAATTTTTATAAGAGAGTATGTGATAATTGAAGGAATGTGTGAATACACACATATATATATATGATTATTACATTGAAATTTACTTAAGATTCTATTCTATGATATTTATGACCATCATGGAGAAATCTCTTCAAGGAGGGATTTCCTGCTAAGATCCTACCCTCCTCCTTAAGCCTAACTTCCGCAGTCCATCAATATCGTGTCTCTTCTTCTTCCCTCATAGAGGGATAACTAGGAAGTTATAAAGTTACAATTATTAACTCCTTAATTCTACAATCTCTCTTTCTAGAGTATGTAAATAAAATATCAGATACGAACGAATATCAAATTTAATATAAGTGGTATTTAAAAAAATCTCAATTCAAACCTATCAATGTTCAAGAGGATAATAAACAATTTTATGGATAAAACAAGAATCTCTCTCTCTAACATATATATTAGCTGTAATATAATAACGCTATGTAGCGATGAGTTTGTTCATACTAAATGTAATGCTACCTTGACAATGGTTGGCGTTCAGCCCCCCAACCGAAATATTGACAAATATTTTTATTCAATCCAATATATATGTACATATATTATCTAAAAATATAAATATATATGTATATGAAAAAATAGTACAAATGTGATATTTGTACTATTTTTTCACATTGTGTAGCGTTCTCACGCAATTCTGGCCTTAACTACCCGTTTCATGATTTTTCAGGATGCCTTAATAACCAATTTTTTGGTCGTTGAGGTACAGCTTACACCACGCTGATGAGGGCCAACAGCCCGAAACACGTCCATGGTTAGCTTTTTTTGATTAATCAAGAATGGGTATTTGGCCAATTCTGGAATAATTAAAAATCAACGAGAATAGTTGATATTTATTCCGATAGATGGCGCAAGCCATCAGCAACTTTCAGTTGCATGATAAGGAGATGCCTTTTTCTTAATATATGTATATATGTAAAAAACTCAACATAAAGTTGTCATTTCTTGAAAATGAAGATACTTCGGCCAGTAAATCTTTTTATTACCTCGACGTTTCGACAAAAATCTTTTGTCCTCGTCTTTTTTCTCCTGACGAGGACGAAAGATTTTTGTCAAAACGTCGAGGTAATAAAAAGATTTACTGGCCGAAGTATCTTCATTTTCAAGAAATATGAATGCCGGCCAGGCAGCCTCAATATTTACGATAAAGTTGTCAGTTGTTCTTTTAATAATTAATGTTATTTTTCAGGCGCTAGTATATTGCCTATAGTATAGGCGTTAGTATATATATATAATAAAAATGGCATATCCTGACCAGGAGCACATGTGCTTTTCAGAAGTCAGAGTTTCATCTAGTGGAACAGAAATCAACTAAACATTGATTTAACCTGTTCCCTGATATTTGGCCAACCCATTTTTTTACAAATCATAAATAATTTTAAAATATCTTAAAGTGAAAACAACAGCCCCCCCCCCCCCCCCTCAAGAAAAGAAAGTTTTTTTAATATATACTAATATTTAGCTTAAAAAATATTTTGTACCACATTATATGAGGTTATACAAAATAGTTTCAAAGTATATTGTGTTCTCCTGCAGAGGGGCTTGCATTTGCAAAAGCTCTAAATTCGTATTAAATATTTGTAAAAGAAACGTATCTCGGAGAGAGAATCCTGATGTTTTTACCCCAATTTTATAGAGTATTGATATTTTTGAAAAAATATTTTCTCTACTTATTTCTTTTAAAAAATAGACACTTTGGCCAGATAAAGTTTTATGAGAAAATAAAACTAGCCGAAATGTCTATTTTTTTTAAAATATAAATATGAATTATTAGAATTATAATCCTCTGTGTTGATTATATTAACCAAATATAAATCCCCGAGGATAATATTGCATGTATTAGCTCTAGAATTACCCCAGTTATCCAAATAAACATGTACAATCTAAGGAACCATAACAGATTTAATGAGCCATTCGTAGTTTCAACTTGCTAGGGCGTGTACTTAGACATGCATGGCTCAATCTTTGAGACAAGCGTATGACTATTGGCAGGATCAACCAGAGAAAGAAAGACAAATTTCCAAGTAAACATGTACAATCTAAGGAACCATAACAGATTTAATGAGCCATTCGTAGTTTCAACTTGCAAGGGCGTGTACTTAGACATGCATGGCTCAATCTTTGAGACAAGCATATGACTACTGGCAGGATCAACCAGAGAGGGACATAAACCAAGTAAACATGTACAATCTAAGGGACCATAACATATTTAATGAGCCTTTCGTAGCTTCAACTTGCAAGGGCGTGTACTTAGACATGAATGGTTCAATCTTTGAGACAAGCATATGACTATTGGCAGGATCAACCAGGTATCCTTCGCCGGTCCCCGCCGCGAGACTCCCTCTCCCCGAGGATAACAAAGAAACTTATCCTCGGAGATTTATATTTGATTAATCTAAAGAAATATGAATGCTGGCCAGGCAGCTTCTATCTTTACGATTCTCTACTTAAATTCTACTCAGCAAGTTAGCTGAACGTTTGTATCTACATATCTGACTTTGATGATGCCATCTACTGGAATGATGCAGGAATGGTTGATTCTTCCATGATGCCTATGTTGGGCTACCTGGTTGATATACGCCATACATCCATCTACGGCAGTGTCTACGCCATTGGAGACGTCTCCTTCTGCCTGGGATACGCCGTAGGTCAGTTTGTCCTATGTCTACATCGAGTCAAACATCTTGAGATGTCTTCACGGTGTTTGCAGGACCTGCTCTCAGCGGTACCATTGTCAAACACATGGGATTCAACGGGTAAGTCTGTGTGTTTCTATACTTGTTAGAGCTGCAACTCCACAATTCTCTCTTTCTCTTCTTTTTGGAAGAGATATAAAAGTGTATTTCTGTCAAAACTTTACTTTTATCTTTGAATTTTGAATTCTCACTATCATTATTGTACCCTGATTGGATCTTATTGAGTATCAATGATACGAACATTTTTAGATATATTCCAGGCTTTGTTTTGGACTTTCGGAAAAGCATTCTTCTATGTATGTAAACGCTGAGTTCTACAATCCTATAACCTTATATCCATAGCTTCCTTAAACACCCTTACTAGGTACTTACTCGTATTCCTTAATAAATACAGACTAAATAGATCAAAAATAAAAATGGCATACCTGACCAGGAGCACATGTGCTTTACAGAAGGCAGAGCGCCATCTGGTAGAACAGAAATCAACAACAACAAAAAGCTTTATTAAGACAATTTAGTCTTATACGGATTCTCCAAGCACAGAAATGTAGGGTACACACAAGAATAACAGTAGTAACAACAACAAAAGTATCTGTTATGACCTTTTGGTCTTACATAACTTCTCCACGTAGAAGAGGGTATATACAGGAACAAGAAAGTCTCCAAGGTGGTTGGTGCGAATGTTTAGTTCACCGTATAAAATTATCTCCAGCCCATTGTGTATCTTGATCGTAATATATATATTCTCTAGTTGGAGTTCGTTTGGAGGTAGATACGTAAAAGTTATACAAGTCAGCAATGAATCTAAGTTTAGTTATTTTTGTTATAAATTCCTACAATGATGCCTTCAGAGCTTCTTCCCTGACCCAAAGTTTTTCTAGCAAGTGATTGGTAAACCTGAAAATCCTCAATCTCGAGTTTTAGAACAAATTGGCACTAAGTTTCCGTTATAGCAAATATTTCAAACTGATTTACATAATCAATGAAAGGGAAAACGGAATTTATTCTAAAGAAACCATTGATATTACTGATGTGAATGAACGTATAAAAATAATTAAATATGAGTGATTGAATATTAATTAATTTATTTTTCTATTGTTTTTTGACCAAGAAAAGGTAAATTCATTCTGTCAAGATATATGTAAATAGTGTTAGTTCAATGTTTAATTTTAATTTTAGTTTTGCTTGGTTTGCATGTAAATATTCTTAAGGAAGAAAAATAAACTTTTTTTTTTCTTTTATAAGTGCAGACATCTTTTGTTTAATATAAATTTCTAGAAAAATATTTAAGCAGCAAAATAACAATGGCGACGAGACTTTCTTTCGAACCATATGTAATGAAAGAAGAATCTTTTGAAAATTATCTTCAACGATTCAAACAGTACATTTTTGTGAATGAAATCGAAGGTAAGAAGATTGTTCCTTTTTTTATTATGTCTATTGGAGCAAATACTTATAGTGTTCTAAAAGAATTAATCTCCCCTAGAGATGTTTGTGCATTAGAATTCGAAGAAATTGTTAGTGTTTTACTCACTCATTTTACACCTAAGCTAAATATCATTTTTGAAAGATATGAATTCAGCCAATTGGTTCAAGAACATGGCGAGAAAATAGGAGACTATGTCCTTAAATTAAAAAAACAAGCTAATAGGTGTAACTTTGGCTTAAATATTGAAGAACACCTAAGGGATAAGTTCATTGCGGGAGTTTCTAATCAAGTTATTTTGAAAAGATTACTCCAAGAGCCTGAGCTCACTTTTAATATGGCAGTGAATATGGCTACCACAATAGAATCGGTAGATTGTAATGTGTTGAAAATGAAGTCTTATGCTGAAACTAAAGAAATAAACAAATTACATTCTAAATGCAAACATTGTGGAAAGATGAATCATCATTCGGACAAATGTTTTTTTAGAAATTCTTTCTGCTATTCTTGTAAACAATTGGGACATATATCGACTGTTTGTCATTCAAAATCTAAGAATGGATATTTTCAACCAAGAAAGAGTGAAGCGTCTGCCCACGGAGAATCATTTTCGGGAAAGAATGGTGAGTCCATCAATAATATAGAATATTTGACTAATAAATTTGAGAGTATTTTGTATGTCTTCGACATAAAATTCTTAGCAGAGATTGACACTGGTGCAGCTTTAACAACTATGTCAAAAGCTCTATTTTTAAAATATTTTGAACATGTTAAATTATTTCCGTCTAAATGTTATTTAACCGATTATCAAGGAAAGGGCATTTCCTCTATTGGAGAATGTAAAGTAAAAGTAAGATATAAAAATAAAATAGGCCATTTAAACTTAATAGTAACAAATATTGAAAATAATAAATTTCTCATAGGAAAAGACTGGATAGTATATTTTGATATGGTACAAATTAATGTCCAACAAAATAATAATTTTGATACTAATTTTATTTTTAATAAATATTATAAACTTTTCGAAGATATAGTCATGCCAATAAAAGATATTTCCGTACACATTAATGTAAAAAATAATTTTGCACCAAAATTTTATAAATTTAGACCTGCTCCCTTTGCTATTAGAAATTTAATTGAAGAAGAACTATTATTTTTATTGAATAATGATATTATTGAAAATATAGTGGATAGCCCAATAGCTTCACCGCTAGTATGCGTCCCTAAGAAAAACGGCAAAATTAGAATTTGTGCGGGCTTTAAAAGAACCTTAAATCCATTTATCGAGGATGTTAAGTATCCGATACCGAACATCGATAATGTTTTACATTCATTTTTTGGTAAAAGTATATTTAGTAAAATTGATCTTTCAAGCGCATATCATCAGATACTTCTAGACGAGGAATCTCAAAAATTAACAGTTATTTCTACCCATAAAGGCCTTTTTAAATATAAAAGGCTGCCCTTCGGTATCAAGTCCGGAGCGACTATTTTCCAAAGAACTATGGACAATATTTTTTCCGGTCTTAAAAATGTAATAATATATTTAGACGATATTCTTATAGCATCGTCTGATGTAAATGAGCATATTTCAGATATTGAAACAGTCATGAATAAATTATCGGATTTTAATTTTTCAATTAATAAAGAAAAATCTTTGTTTTTTGTTGATGAAATCAATTATTTGGGACATAGAATAAATAAAAATGGAATCTATCCCCTTGAGGATAAATTGGACAGTATAAAAAAATGTCCTAAACCGAGTAACATTTCAGAATTGAAATCTTTCTTGGGCATGTTGTCATTCTACAGTAAATTCTTTAGAAATTTATCCATACATGCAAATCCTTTATTCTCTCTATTGAAAAGAAGTTATAATTGGAATTGGAAAAATGAACATGATCAGGCTTTCGAAAAATGTAAAAATTTGATTAGTACAAAAACTTGTTTGACGCATTATTCGCAAGATTTACCTCTTTATGTTACTTGTGATGCATCAAATTATGGTATTGGAGGATATATTTCCCATATTGTAAACGGCACTGAGAAACCAATTACTTTTGTTTCAAGAACACTAAATGACACAGAAAAGAAATATTCCCAAATAGAAAAAGAAGGGTTATCAATATTCTTTACCTTAAACAGGCTAAAACAATTCCTTTACGGAAGAAAATTTATTATTAATACAGATCACAAACCATTACTAGCCATTTTTGGCGATAAAAATAATTTACCAGCCTTAGTGGCAAATAGATTACATAGATGGTCACTCTCAATATCAAATTTTAATTTTGAAATTAAATATACTAAGGGAACTGAAATACCTCTTGCAGATTTTCTTTCAAGATTTCCAAATCCTGAAAAAGGGGAGAAGGAAGAGGAAATGGGAGAAATATTATTAATAGAAAATTCGATATTAGATTACGTCTTGGTATCGTACAAAACCCAAGAAGATCCAACTCTTAGAAAACTATATAAGTTAGTCAAGTACGATAAGTATGATGTTGACTCAGAGGTAGATATAAAACCTTATAATAGAATTAAAAACGAGATAACAATAGTAAGAAATTGCCTATTTTTCGGAAATAGAATGATCATCCCCGATTCCTTAAGAGAATATGTTTTGAAAATCATCCATGAAAATCATATTGGAGTAAATAAAATGAAAACTCTGGCCAGAAGTTCTGTCTATTGGCCGGGAATGGATGAGCAAATTGAGAGGCTGTCTAAAAGCTGTAGCACTTGTATGGAAAACACATCAAAGCTGCCAAACCAGGAATTCACTGAGTGGACTCCACCAAACAAAGTTTGGAAGAGAATTCATCTCGACTATTTCTATTTTGCGGGAAAAACTTTTTTGATATTAGTGGATGCGCATTCTAATTGGATAGAATGTCAAATAGTTCCAAATACATCGGCGGGATTCTGCATAGACTTTTTGAGAGAATGTTTAGCGAGATATGGTATCCCGGAGGTGGCGGTAATGGATAATGGGCCCCCGTTTAGAAGTTATGAAATAAAGACATTTTTCGAAAGAAATGGCATACATGCGATGTTTAGCCCCGCTTACCATCCGGAGAGCAACGGACTAGCGGAAGTGTCTGTAAGAGAGATAAAAAAAGCTATGAAAAGAATTATTTCGGAGGAAAGAGAATTACCCCTTGAGTTTGCTTTGATAAAGGCATTATATGCATATAGATTGAGTCCTTTGACTAGAACGGAAAAATCCCCTGCTGGAATATTTTTAAATCGAGAGATTAGAACAAAGATTTCCATGTTGAGCAAGAAATCAGTAAGAGTGGGGAGATTGAAAAATAAAAAACAGAACAATAGCTACAAAATAAATGATAGAGTAAGATACAGATGGATGGAAAGAGGAAAACCGAAATGGATGTTTGGGATTGTAAAGAGAATAGTGGGAAGCAACAGCTGTATGATAGAAACTGATGGAATTGAAAAGAAAGTACACACTAACTATATGAGGAGAAGTATGGAGAGAAAGGATGTTTCATCATCAGAAGAAGGAATAAGCTACCCAAGGCCTCAGACGTCAAGTCCCCTGACTCCTGCTACAATAGTAGCAGAATCTACACCTGGACCACCGACTGAATCTACACCTTCCCGGAGATATCCACTACGAGAGAGGAGACCACCGGATAGATATGTACCTTGATGAGTATTGCTATCTTAAAAAAGGGGGAGTTGATGTGAATGAACGTATAAAAATAATTAAATATGAGTGATTGAATATTAATTAATTTATTTTTCTATTGTTTTTTGACCAAGAAAAGGTAAATTCATTCTGTCAAGATATATGTAAATAGTGTTAGTTCAATGTTTAATTTTAATTTTAGTTTTGCTTGGTTTGCATGTAAATATTCTTAAGGAAGAAAAATAAACTTTTTTTTTCTTTTATAAGTGCAGACATCTTTTGTTTAATATAAATTTCTAGAAAATTATTTAAGCAGCAAAATAACAATTACAATACATAATTTGTACATAATTGTGACCAAGTTTTAATAGTTGTTCGATCAAAAGTAGTTTAGTTTTCCATTCCTATTAGCTATATGTGGTTGATGATGATATTTTCTAGCCTGTAAAAAGAGATATCATGTGATCCTTCCAGTTCATTTCTGTGTGTTTGCTATATCTCAGTTCCTTCTGAACTCATGATCTTATCATTTATCACTTGGTAAACAATACTTCCAACAATCAACTTGCTATCTCGAAGTTTAGATGAGATTCCTTTGGCCAAGAGTTCTTTTCTCTTATTAATCAACAATCGACGCTGTTGTCTAACTTTTAAGGTGTAATCCTTATTTATGTAAATCCTTGATTCCTTAAGCTTGAATGCATT